TCGGAATTACCAACTATATAAACGTGAGTTTTGCCTAGCCACTTGATCCTGATAAGTACGAGACTGAAACCTGACATATCATAAACATTAGACCCATGAATTAATTTGATCGACTATATCCTCCGTATGTTAATTAAGAAGATACTAAAAAAAAATATTAAATGTCAATCAAAAGTAATTTAATAGACATATTATTTAATTTGACCAATCAAAACATTTCAATTAAAAAATATATGTTATAGTGAAAATTCTCTACATATTTTCATTAATTTTTAACATAAACCATTAATACATGTTTTAAATTTTTAAACTCAACTAAATGTAATATCTTAGACTTACCATAACATCTATTTTTAGAAAATATTAACAACCTTTTTATTATTATATTTATAGCAATTATATATTGTGTACTTTATGAATTAAGAGTTTTAGATTAGTATATTATACAAATATTTTTATTATGATACGTATTCTACTATACATATTTTAGTCACATTTACAAATATTTATACATTTCATCATTGTATTTGTTTTCTTTTTGTTATGTCCAAAAAATTCATATAAACCTAAAATTTATATGATTTATCGTATGTTCTATAATTTACACGAATAATAAAAATCAATTTTATATTTAAAAGATTTTAAAATAAATAATATTTGCATATGTTTTGATCAGTTTACAAATAAAATATTAAAAATTATAGCATTAACATATTTTTGATCAAAAATATTCAATTTTATTACATTTATACACAATATATATCATTTTGATATGTTTATAGATATTATAAAATATATATTTTATCATACACATTTAAATATTATAAAATTATATATAATAAAACTGATTAATTAATTTTTTAACCATTTAATCTCATGTTGGGTGCGAGACAAAATCTATTGTATAAATATAATGAATACGAAAATAAATGTGATAACTCTATAATTTATGAGAAATTTCAAAAAATGCCACTTTTCAAGTGCTACTTTACAAAAATGCCACACTTTTGAAATTTTTACAAAAATGCTACTTTTTCAAAATTATTTTTTCTTTATATTATTTATGTTTGGGTTAATTATGTTCTATTAGAGTTTAGTTTTGAGTGTTTAGAGGGTTTTAGGTGTCAAAACATTTTTTAGAGTTTAGAATTTTAAGATCTAAGCTTTATAAATCTATAATTAGTGACATTTTTGTAAAAATCTATTTTTACAAATATACATACAAAAAATAATATTTTTGTAATTACCTCGTAATTTATTGTACCAAAAAATTGGTATGGGATCAAGACGGCGGCGAGTAGCATGGGATCTGTTATAGTGGATAATTTTACAATGCTTTTCCATTAAGGGACGAGATTTTTCCACGTCAGTAAAATTGCAATTTTAACATGATTTTTTTTTAATTATTATATAACACTTTTGTCATCTAAAGTACAATAGTTTGAGTATTTATTACACAAGTCCTTGTATTTTTTCGTTAAATTATGAAAGCCATAATACAATTTATACTATTAGAATTTATCAATTTATAGTATTAGTTTTCATATTACACATTGGATATTAAACATTCACTGTTCACGAGTTTAAAATCAATTCTGCTATTTAAACTACGTGAAAATAAACTAATTTCAATCATGTACATAAACTAATTTTTTGAGTTACGTTACTTATTTGAGCTATTTCAGACAAGAGGTATGATAAAAAAGGAGTACAAAGCATAATAAAATACTAAAAAAGGAAGCATATATGGGCAAAAGAAAAGGAAGGAAACAAAAGTAGAGGGTCAAAGAG